AGAGATGGAATAACAAATTTACACAACCAAAATTTGTGGGCAGATTGGAATCTCCATGGTGCAATGCAGGCTAGACATTAGCATCGGTTTATAATTAATGTGTGTGCTGGGATTGTAAGTAATTGTCTGGCAGTCCATATGTACTCCCAGCATGCCTTATAGGAGCCATCTACAGGGACTTTATTTCAAACACACTTTCAGACCTGCTAGAGGATGTACCCCTTCTAATACGAAGACACATGTAGTTCATTTTAGTCACATTGTTCAAAATGCATTGGTTGGCATCTACCATGAAAGATGGCTAGGTAGGGAAGGGCCAGTTCTATGTCCTGCACATTCTCCCGACCCCAATCCTTTGGATTTTTATCTTTGGGTCAACTTAAAACAATTGGTGTATGCAGCAGAGATACTTCATAGATACTTCATTAACATGTCATAGGGGCTTGAAAAATCATTTGATACCATGTAAGAGTATTTGAAAGGGTCCACCAGTCAATTATTTGACAGGTGCATGTGTGTGTATAAGCAAGTGGAGGACATATATTTATATGAAGATTTTACCTTGTTTTGATGTCAGGAATCCCCCCACAAAAGTTTGTAAAAGTATTTTTGATACACCCTATACACACACACACACACACACACACACACACACATACACACATATATATTCAGACATAAGCAATTTACTTTAGTAAAACTCTACTGAACACAGGAATTGTCCTCAAATAATAGTTCAGATTATTAAATGATATAGATTTCTTGACATGGATTTAAGCACAAAATTAAACAATGAAAGTGGATCTACTGGAAAGGAGGGAAGAGAAAAAATACAGGGAGATGAAAAATAGATTAATAAATAAATATGGAATATATATAAATTAAGATTTCAAATTGTATCAAAGAACACATGGCCTACATTCAGGACTGGAAAGATTTCTGCTTCATAATTTTGGCCAAAAGTTCAGGTTATCCATGCTGCTTGAATTCAATTGATAAACAACTTTTATGGCAAAGTAGTTATGAAGATAGACTTGAAGCAACCAATTCAAAGAAGTGATGACAATCAACATGCTGATAGGTTTATTGAGGTGAACAAGAATGCCGTATAGAATAAAAATGTCTTGAAGAACCATAGAACAAGTCATTGAAGATGATATAGAAAATATTGTGTGCTATCAAGATGACATTTGCATAGGGGTCAGAAAGGAAATAGAACTAAAAAAGAAAACTAAAGGTGCATTGATATGATTAAGAAATGTGGGAATGAAAATAGATGGGAAAAATGTGTACATAACAACAGTGAAATATTGTTTCTGGGATATTTCATTTCAAAGATGTTTCGCCAGATCAAATACAGTATGAGTACCAAAAAATAAAAAGAACTGGAATCCTTTTTGGGATTTGTAAATTTTCATAGACAATACTTACCAAGGTATACAGAATTGACATTTGTCAAGCTAAAAGAAAGTGGAATTCATATAGGAGAAGACCCAACAAAAAGCATTTGACTAACTAAAATTAACTCTTGCTAAAAACAAGTAAGGATGATAACATTAACTGCAGATGCTAGTGATCATTCAATACTGTGAATACTTACACAGAAAGGACATCCAATAATGTATCTGTCAAGCACTAACCCTTGACAAGTGTCAGTTCATCATGCAAGTCAGGTAGTCAGTTATTTAGGTCTGAATTTTATTTTTTACTATAGTAAATTCATATTGTTTTTAATAACTGTTTAATTAGGAGAACAAGATTTCTCTATTTTTACACTTGTTGTATTATGTGTAGAGTGGTGTGATGGATAACAGCTTGGAATCAAATTCCAATTGGGTTCATTACTTTCACTTTTACAAATACCCTTGGGAAAGGTATGAATTTATCTATTCTCCCTCCAGCTATGGGTTTGAACAGCAGGATAGACTGAGTCCTATAGCTGTGGCTGGCAACCAGTCTACTGCAGAAAGAAATGGCAACCTACTATGGGAAAATATTCTGCCTAGTCAGTTATAAATTAAAAAAACATGCAAGCCCAAGTGTGTATCACATGTGACACATAACTGACTGATAGATTGTATTATGTCTGATGGTAGATATTTGGCATTAAGAACAAAGATATTGATGGAGGTAAACACTTCTTTGTTTTCTTTGTAAATAAAGAAGTGTTTACTGCAATCAGTTAACCATCCAGTAATCACTGTTTTGGCATACTCTTTTAGAATGGTAACTGCCTTAATATTTTGCGTGTACTTCAGTGAGACATCATGCTTCATGTTCAGTGAATGCTGAGATGAATACCTTCAATATGTTTGCATCGTCACAATAACATTTCTGACAAAGATCCAGCTATTGGAACTGCTTTACCATGGTTATACTTAACAGCAGCAGTATGACATTGAATTTGGATAGCATTCTTGTAGTTGTTGTTATAGACAAGTGTATGGTTGCAAGAAAGAAATACGACAACAGCAGAAATAGATTTATGTGGTTTATTTCAACAGGAACGTGATGGTTTGGGACAGCTACCTTGTGGTATAGTTCATAAGCTGGCTTTCGGATCTAGGTCGATCTCTCATAGTAGTTCATACATGTTGACGGTAGTTGATTCTCTCCTGCTGACCGCTCGGCCTGGCCACCTGTTGACTGCTTGTTGAACTTCCGTGTGACCTCCTTTATAGCGTTTTTTTTTATGGCTTAACAGGCTCGAAAAACAAAGCGAGTATAATTAGGAGGGAAGCATTTTTATTGGACGAAAAATAGAGCACTTTAAATATTATTTTATTTTTCGACAGGAACACGTGTGTCAGGAACATTTGTAAAGAGATAATGGTCATTTTGTGACGGGGCTTTGTCCTGTTCACATCCGGTTCTCGCTCTTGAGTATTTGCCTGTAAATCAGCCGAGATATGTCTTATTTTATTTTATAACATTGTGGAAGTTCTTGTGCTAGGTTCTAAGTAAAATTGGCTCTAATAACTTGTGGTCAATGTGAGTTGTGATTCAATAGCCCCTTACATAGTGATGAAATCTCTCAAGCTTGAAAAAAAAATGGCAAGAATCTCTTTGTTTCAATATCCATTTCAAGACTAACATGACTCTGGTCCTAATAGCATTTTAAAAGCCAAAGCAACTGAAATGTTGTTCCAAAGAAAGGCTAGACTGAGCCCAGCAGTTACTGCATGAACCAATTATTGGAGCTTTTGGGCCAAAGTACCTCAGTACAACATTCTTATGTATTTCCTTTTTTGACACTGTCAAATGCTGATTGTTGTTGACATAACTAGATGAAATAGCTGTTCTTGGAACTTATGTTGTAGAATAGCTTGGTCAATGCTACAAAATAGAGAGAGGATTTGTTGAGGTAGTTTGCTGATTGAAGGACACTGATTAACTGCTTTTCTTCCTCAGAAGGTTGCATTTGAGTAAGTGATTTAGTCTTCTTGATGTCTAGTTTTACACTATCCTTTAACACAATATAACCAAAGGATGACATCCTTGAATTGGTTGTAACAATATGTTATCATTCTATAATGTTCTTCAGTGCATAACCAGCATTTTAAAAATAATCAGTCTCACCTTTTCATTGAACTGCATGAGAACTGGTTCCTGTGGAATGCAGATAGCCTCTCTCTGCCATATATTTACCTTCTCCATCTCCACAAATTGTTGGGCATCAATAAGGTATTCTTGGGTCAAGTTCAACTGTATTCCAAATATGATTGACTTTTCTAGCATAGTAACATCTTTGCATTGTTTTATTATTTGGCATAGGGCATTTCACTTTCCATGCACCCATTACACTATCTGCACATCCCACTGTCTACAATACTAGCTCAAAGCATTACTCCACATTCATTAGTAATGAACGTACAGCTACATTAAATGGACAAGAAATAGTCAAAGAACACAACATAGAAAACAAGTGGTAGAGGATCAGTTACCGGCGAGAGAAAAAAGATGAAAAAATGTGTTTGCTGCTCCTCTTTATATGCTTCTGTGAGCAATTCTCATTGGTTTCATGGCAGCTTACATAACATCTATTTTTGGCATGCAGACTTTAATTTTTACAAAAATCGATAAATGCTAGCTAGCATCTGAATCATTTGAAATTTAGAAATATTTCATTTAAATATTGAAAGTTCAAAACCAACAAGTACAGTGGGATAAACAGCTGCTATTATAATGTTGTTATTTTTAAATATATAACTTGTAATGATAAATGTAACTTTGGACTGCCAACATGTATATAAACTTTTGGATGTGCTATCAACTGCTATATATAGTTGCAGATTTTTATTCTTATGAACTGATACCCTACACGCAAGTCACCAATCTGCCACTGGATGGCATGCCATTAATGTTTATCACTGGTGAACAGCTGGTGTTTTTGTCTTGGCAATGTTACCACTTGCAGACTGCTAGTGGACCATTGTTAGCTCACTGGTTGGGGGTCTGCTGGTGGCTGCTACCAGAGGACTGCTGGTGTTGCCATCAACAGCCTGTCAGCAGGTGACTACCAACTTGTGTGTAAGGTAGTTGATAAGAAAAAAATTATTATATCTACAGATAACAATTGTTATGATATTATATATGATGGAGGTGGTATTCAGTAATATTAATAATCTAAAGGATACATGGCACAGTGGATAAAGTTAGTGTTAGTTAGATCCAGTGACAGGATCCAAAGAGTATGAGTTCAATACCTGGTTAAGGTGGTGGAGAACTTGGAGAGGGGAATTAATAGTCTGAGCAATGTAAATAGTATACATTATACCTCATCTCAGAAATATAGACAGATATTAATAATCTCATCAAATAATTTTTGATAAAGCAAAGATAATTCTATTTATTGTATTGATTATGACGTTGTATCCCTTGAATGTTACTAATCTTAATAGCAATAAAACAATATGTAATTTTATGAAGAGAATATTTGCAAATATTCATCTTATAAAAAGTGGACAGCTTGTAATTTTTGATCTTTCATTTTCTTTCAGTATCTTTACTGCTTTTATTTTGGAGGCATTTGTTTTAGAGTACACTCTCAGCAAAGGGAGAAAACTGGAGACTGTTTTAGAGAGAACACTTAAAAAACTTGGATTTGGAATAAGAGGGTAAGTTTAAAACGTACTTTGTGCATACAGTTTGTTTATTTTCTATAATCATTCTAGTTGAACTGCAAATGAAACTTTTCAACACTTCATGCAGCATAAGCTGTTAAGTCAATTCTATTTTGACATCTTTTAGCAAATCATACATATTAAATACAATTTTTAATTAATTTTAATTATTTAAACTTGCCTTCTTTTATTAATAAATTTTATTCATACTTTTTAGATTTGCAAGTTTTTTCATTTGTTCTTTTTTTATGGATGATAATGATTTTGTTTTTGTCATTAGTTAAAGTACTGACATAATTTTTAGAAAATGGAGTTGTCTACAGAAGGCATTTCAAGAAAAATATTAATCTCTAAGGAATTAAAGTATAAAATCAGAAAAGAAAATTAGCTGATGCATTTGTAATTTTTTGCTATGAATTGAATTCTATTTTATTAGAATGAGACAAGGAAATCAAACATATATGACTTATTTAAACTTATGAGTAAATGGAACATTTTCATACTGAAAGGATATCATGACTGATTGACAATGTGGAGAATAACAGTTTTCATTAATGATAAAAGGTTGGGCTTTAAGATATGCGTCAAGAAGATTTTAGCTTGAGAGAAATTAAGTTGTAATATAAAAAATATAAAGAAATGTTTTAATCATTTGTTGGTAAGAGTTTACTGATATCTTTGAATTGATTAATTATTCCTATTTTCAGATTTAGAAGCTGGTGGCAATATAAATCTGGGGATAATACAAATGTAACGTAGATAAAAAACAGAGATAATTGCTGAGGACTTGATTAATATGGAGATGATTGAAGAAGATTTTGTGGTAGAATAAATATAGATAAATAGAATAAATTGCTGAAAATATGCAAAAAAAGTGGGGGAATATTTTGAGAAAATACAGCAGAATTCGGAGAAGGTGTAACAGAGTTAGGATTAGTAAACTTTAGTTGAAAATAGATGACTTTAAAAATATAATTTCACTAGCTGCAAATTAGGAGACAATGTGTAATGAGGGGTTGAAAAATGTAAGATGACTAAATCCAAGGAGTTATGACTTCAATATCAAAAAACTTGTTGAGTTAAAGGGAAATGGTAAATTTGCTTTTTAACACCTGTGTTAAATGCCTCTTAAAATTTTTCCAAATCATCATAATTCCATGTAAATTATGAAGAAACCTACCATTTTGGAGTTATTGACAAGAAAAAAACTGACTTCTTGTTGGTCATTCGTCCCCAATTACTGCCATCATTATCACTGATTCACTGCGTAGTACTTCTGTTGGTGGAAACAAAATTTTGGCCTATTTACTTCTTTTACAGACTTACCTTGCAGAAAATCTCTACGCACTACCATAAAGAAATGTAATTTTTTTTTTTTGGTAAGTGTAGTTTTATTTATAAAAAAAAACAAATTAAATTATTTATAAAAAAAACAAATTAAATAATACATTAAAACCTTTTTTTCTGTATAGAATAGCAATGACAAATTAAAAGAACAAAAGCTGAATGGTTGAGATAATAAAACAAAGATGAGTTCAAATGTAAATAAACAAGACACTGTTGAATGCTCAACAAGAATTGGGTTCATTACTGATTGTAATTGTTCAAAATATAAAGATATTCCATTTTAGTCAGCCAAAAACAGAAGGTTGAAGAATCTTTTAGGACACATCCCAAATTCATGAAGAGAAAATATAACCATCCATTTGAACAAATCACCAGTATCAATTACAGGTGTGAGGACTGATACCCACAGTCCCACATAAGGTCATAATGTTTCCTATATGATATAAAAGTAAAAAAGTATAATTCTCAAATGATGTAAAACTAATGATTATTTCCAGTGAGAATTCCCAAACTTTTTGGATACATTTACTCTCTTTAGGCAGGGTGAGCTCCAGATTTTTCTGTGCAAAGTGAGATATTACTGAAAAATTAAAGAAATTTACAATCTTTCATTTGCAGAAAAAATAAAACTTGAAACTGCTAAATTTATTTAACACTGATTGAAGAAGTAGAAATCAATTTTACATTTTCATTTGTTAAAAAGAATGAAAATGTTTTAGCACACAAATAATTTTGAACAAAAAATCACTTGATATGATGTATAACTCCACACAACACTTTTCACACATCTTTTAAGTATATAGGCCATTTATGGTTACTTGGTAATATTGATAATGATATTTTGTTTATAGTTAGAAAGAGAAATGAACAAAAAAAGAAACAAAAATAAAAACATCTAAAAATGTTTCCCTTTCAAATGTATTAAAATCTTTGCAAACTTTTTCAATAATTCAACTAAATCAAGTAGTGATACTTAACATGTTCAGTCAGTATAATTTCCAAGGTAACTTACCTTTTTCCAACATTGTAGAATCCTAAAATTTAATTAAATTAAATTTATAACCTTCTGTTTTGGTCTTATGTTTAGCAGGGTAGTTGTTATTCGGAAGGGTATTTTTGATGCTGATTATCTCCTTTTGGTATATGCTCGAGTTGCCACCCATGAGCTTTGGTATAGTTTTATGCACATTGCATGATCATCTTTCTTTAAACTGTAGGGATGATCAGAACTGATGAATGTTGATTTGTAATATATGATTATCTTGAACCCATTCTCTGTACAAGTTGTTAGTACATCCATGAAGGTTAACTGATTTTTGGATTATTCTCCCATTGTTAACTGCATTGACAATTTTACTAAATTCACATGGTCCAGAAATATTTATATGGCTTCCTGCTGAGAGCTGTGTATAAGGGTACCATCTACATAAGCTGGCTTTAATGGTGCCATTGTCTGTGAATGTTGTCTGTGCATAAACTGTTAACATTTCCATTGGGTTTATCTATCAAAATCATAGTATGTTTCTTAAGAGAAGAGTCCAATTCCAATTAATTTCAAATCACTAATCTATCAAAACCCTGGTGAACAGGCTCACTACATCTAAACTTACTGTGTGATGTTTATGGATGGAAGCACTTTGAATTGATTCCACAAAGTGTTCTGAATTCTTCACATATGATGAGGACATGCCTGACCATGAGTTTAGTATATCCATCAGAAATCTGCTCTAAAAGGAGAAAAGGAGAAGAGAGAATATCAAATCTCTTATTTTGAGTATTTTGTATGGGGAAAACAAAAAAACACAAGACTCTTACTCTGGTGTGGAATGTGCAGAGAAACAAACAGTTATTACAATGAAAAAATATTTTTACAATTGTTTTTTAATCATTTCACCCCAAGAAAGCAAGAAGTTACTGAGTATGAGAGAATATGAGAAAACAAAAACATTATTAAAGAGAGAGAACAATAAAAGAACAAAAATTAAGAAGACAGAAGATAAAGATTGACATTGCATTTAAATCTTTGAAGATCAAAGTTGACTGGAAAGCAAAAGCCAGAAGTGAGTTCCAAAAGTGAGAAATGTGACAGAAGAAATTGTCAGAATAGAACTTACAGTTACATCTCATCATTTCAAATGTAAAAGGTTGAGATCTTGTTGCCAATCTATTACTACACTTAAATTCATAATGTCAAGCTACCATAGAGGAAAGTTTGTCAGAACAATTACCATGAACATATTTATAGAAAAGGCACAGGGAAGCTATGTTATTGTGGTGGGAAAGTGACTGAAGCCAGTTCAGGACCAATAACATTCTTTGGATTTTATCAAAAATCTCTAAATATATAGCAGGAGCAATAGACCAGATATAGCAGCAATATTCAAGGCAAGGATGAATGGTATACTTATAGATATGTAAGATAGATTCTGGTGAAAAAAATTGTCGAGCATAACACAGTAAACCAGCTTCCCTAGCAAGAGACATAGTATTGGATGCAATATAATCTTTCAACATCATGTTAATGGAAAGTGTTAGTCCAAGAAGGCACAATGAGTCACTCTCCTGGATAGAAAGCAAAAAATGTTCTCTCAGATGATTAAAAGAGAGCAGTTTTGTTTTGGAGGCATTAAAATTAACAAACCATTCCTTGCTGAACTTATCAAACTGTTCAGACTTACTATTAAGACAGAAGCAAATAGTAGGAGACATGGTAGAGTAATAGATTGCAGCTTGGAATGAGGAATTGGAGAGCTGAATTTGAATTCCAGTCAAATTCACTTATTTGCTAATACCTTTGGGAAAAGTATGAAAACAACTCTTCAAAGCTATGGGCAAATTGTTTTTAAATAGAATATTGAGTTGATAACAGTTGACATCAGGAAGGTTGTTGATGAAAATTAAGTACAATGTAGGTCCAAGAATAGAGTCCTGGGAAACACCTGCACTAATGCAGAAAGATTGAGAAGAGTGGCCATTTAAGGCAACTTTTATTTCCCAATTCAATAAGAAAGACTGAATCAGTTCAAAAATTCATCCAGAAATGCAATAACCTTTCAATTTGTGAAGAAAACCAGGATGCTAAACCCTATCGAATGCCTTTGAGATATCTAAAACAACAATCCAAGCGTCACCATTCTTATCTAAAGCTTGATAAACTCTTTCAGCAATAATGATTAATACATTGGCAGTTGAGCTGGAGAAGTGAAGCCTTATTGCTTAGCTGAAAGTACTTTGCCAAAAATAGGTAGGAAAATAATAGATTGATAGAAGGATCACACTGCTTGAGTTTTAAAGACTGGAACTACAGAAGAGGCTTTTTAACAAATAAGAAAGCAGTAAGGTATTTATTATAGAGTTTAGAGAGAACAGAAGTAGTTCAGTAGCTCTTTTCTTAAGGACTATTGCAGGGATACCTCTAAGTTCACATGCTTTGTGAGGATCAAATTTAGAGATGATAGCAGAAACCATTGACAGAGTTATATGCGTAGCACTCAATAAGTTCTGTTCTAAGTGGAAAGTTAGGCAAAGATACTCTCGATGAGTCAAGAGTAGAATTTGAAGAGAAATTATGAATAAAACATTCTGCTTTATACAATATACAAACTATACAAGTTAAAATATAGATCTTGCTCAAAATTTCCCTTATG